TACCAATAGACCCCTGACTGTCTTCAAGAAGGCACTGGACAGACACCTAAAGTCGGTACCTGACCAACCGGGCTGTAGCTCGTACGTCAGTTAGGGTGCGGCCAGCAGTAACAGCATGATTGATCAGACCCTGATCCACCACGAGGCCTGGTCACGGACCGGGCCACGTGGGTGTTGAGCCCGGGAACCTTCCTCCAGGTAACACCCAGGTACCTACTTACTGCTAGGTGAACATGGACAGCATATGTAAGGTGAATAACACCCAGGTACCTACTTACTGATAGGTGAAGAGTGACAGCAGGTGTAAGGTGAGTACTCGGGTACCTACTTACTGCTGGGTGAACAAGGACAGCAGGTGTAACACCCAGGTACTTACTGCTAGGTGAACAAGGACAGCAGGTGTAACACCCAGGTACTTACTGCTAGGTGAACATGGACAGCAGGTGTAACACCCAGGTACTTACTGCTAGGTGAACAAGGACAGCAGGTGTAACACCCAGGTACTTACTGCTAGGTGAACAAGGACAGCAGGTGTAACACCCAGGTACTTACTGCTAGGTGAACATGGACAGCAGGTGTAACACCCAGGTACTTACTGCTAGGTGAACAAGGACAGCAGGTGTAACACCCAGGTACTTACTGCTAGGTGAACAAGGACAGCAGGTGTAACACCCAGGTACTTACTGCTAGGGGAACAAGGACAGCAGGTGTAACACCCAGGTACTTACTGCTAGGTGAACAAGGACAGCAGGTGTAACACCCAGGTACTTACTGCTAGGTGAACATGGACAGCAGGTGTAACACCCAGGTACTTACTGCTAGGTGAACATGGACAGCAGGTGTAACACCCAGGTACTTACTGCTAGGTGAACATGGACAGCAGGTGTAACACCCAGGTACTTACTGCTAGGTGAACAAGGACAGCAGGTGTAACACCCAGGTACTTACTGCTAGGTGAACAAGGACAGCAGGTGTAACACCCAGGTACTTACTGCTAGGTGAACAAGGACAGCAGGTGTAACACCCAGGTACTTACTGCTAGGTGAACATGGACAGCAGGTGTAACACCCAGGTACTTACTGCTAGGGTGAACATGGACAGCAGGTGTAACACCCAGGTACTTACTGCTAGGTGAACAAGGACAGCAGGTGTAACACCCAGGTACTTACTGCTAGGTGAACAAGGACAGCAGGTGTAACACCCAGGTACTTACTGCTAGGTGAACATGGACACAGGTGTAACACCCAGGTACTTACTGCTAGGTGAACAAGGACAGCAGGTGTAACACCCAGGTACTTACTGCTAGGTGAACATGGACAGCAGGTGTAACACCCAGGTACTTTACTGCTAGGTGAACAAGGACAGCAGGTGTAACACCCAGGTACTTACTGCTAGGTGAACAAGGACAGCAGGTGTAACACCCAGTACTTACTGCTAGGTGAACAAGGACAGCAGGTGTAACACCCAGGTACTTACTGCTAGGTGAACATGGACAGCAGGTGTAACACCCAGGTACTTACTGCTAGGTGAACATGGACAGCAGGTGTAACACACAGGTACTTACTGCTAGGTGAACATGGACAGCAGGTGTAACACCCAGGTACTTACTGCTAGGTGAACAAGGACAGCAGGTGTAACACCCAGGTACTTACTGCTAGGTGAACATGGACAGCAGGTGTAACACCCAGGTACTTACTGCTAGGTGAACATGGACAGCAGGTGTAGCACCCAGGTACTTACTGCTAGGTGAACAAGGACAGCAGGTGTAACACCCAGGTACTTACTGCTAGGTGAACATGGACAGCAGGTGTAACACCCAGGTACTTACTGCTGGGTGAACAAGGACAGCAGGTGTAACACCCAGGTACTTACTGCTAGGTGAACAAGGACAGCAGGTGTAAACCCCAGGTACTTACTGCTAGGTGAACATGGACAGCAGGTGTAACACCCCAGGTACTTACTGCTAGGTGAACAAGGACAGCAGTGTAACACCCAGGTACTTACTGCTAGGTGAACAAGGACAGCAGGTGTAACACCCAGGTACTTACTGCTAGGTGAACAAGGACAGCAGGTGTAGCACCCAGGTACTTACTGCTAGGTGAACAAGGACAGCAGGTGTAACACCCAGGTACTTACTGCTAGGTGAACATGGACAGCAGGTGTAACACCCAGGTACTTACTGCTAGGTGACATGGACAGCAGGTGTAACACCCAGGTACTTACTGCTAGGTGAACATGGACAGCAGGTGTAACACCCAGGTACTTACTGCTAGGTGAACATGGACAGCAGGTGTAACACCCAGGTACTTACTGCTAGGTGAACATGGACAGCAGGTGTAACACCCAGGTACTTACTGCTAGGTGAACAAGGACAGCAGGTGTAACACCAGGTACTTACTGCTAGGTGAACATGGACAGCAGGTGTAACACCCAGGTACTTACTGCTAGGTGAACATGGACAGCAGGTGTAACACCCAGGTACTTACTGCTAGGTGAACAAGGACAGCAGGTGTAACACCCAGGTACTTACTGCTAGGTGAACATGGACAGCAGTGTAACACCCAGGTACTTACTGCTAGGTGAACAAGGACAGCAGGTGTAACACCCAGGTACTTACTGCTAGGTGAACAAGGACAGCAGGTGTAACACCCAGGTACTTACTGCTAGGTGAACATGGACAGCAGGTGTAACACCCAGGTTACTTACTGCTAGGTGAACAGGACAGCAGGTGTAACACCCAGGTACTTACTGCTAGGTGAACATGGACAGCAGGTGTAACGCCCAGGTACTTACTGCTAGGTGAACATGGACAGCAGGTGTAACACCCAGGTACTTACTGCTAGGTGAACAAGGACAGCAGGTGTAACACCCAGGTACTTACTGCTAGGTGAACATGGACAGCAGGTGTAACACCCAGGTACTTACTGCTAGGTGAACAAGGACAGCAGGTGTAACACCCAGGTACTTACTGCTAGGTGAACATGGACAGCAGGTGTAACACCCAGGTACTTACTGCTAGGTGAACAAGGACAGCAGGTGTAACACCCAGGTACTTACTGCTAGGTGAACAAGGACAGCAGGTGTAACACCCAGGTACTTACTGCTAGGTGAACATGGACAGCAGGTGTAACACCCAGGTACTTACTGCTAGGTGAACATGGACAGCAGGTGTAACACCCAGGTACTTACTGCTAGGTGAACAAGGACAGCAGGTGTAACACACCCAGGTACTTACTGCTAGGTGAACAAGGACAGCAGGTGTAACACCCAGGTACTTACTGCTAGGTGAACATGGACAGCAGGTGTAACACCCAGGTACTTACTGCTAGGTGAACATGGACAGCAGGTGTAACACCCAGGTACTTACTGCTAGGTGAACAAGGACAGCAGGTGTAACACCCAGGTACTTACTGCTAGGTGAACAAGGACAGCAGGTGTAACACCCAGGTACTTACTGCTAGGTGAACATGGACAGCAGGTGTAACACCCAGGTACTTACTGCTGAGTGAACAAGGACAGCAGGTGTAACACCCAGGTACTTACTGCTAGGTGAACAAGGACAGCAGGTGTAACACTCAGGTACTTACTGCTGAGTGAACAAGGACAGCAGGTGTAACACCCAGTTACTTACTGCTGGGTGAACAAGGACAGCAGGTGTAACACCCAGGTACTTACTGCTAGGTGAACATGGACAGCAGGTGTAACACCCAGGTACTTACTGCTAGGTGAACATGGACAGCAGGTGTAACACCCAGGTACTTACTGCTAGGTGAACATGGACAGCAGGTGTAACACCCAGGTACTTACTGCTAGGTGAACATGGACAGCAGGTGTCTTAATTAAGGAAACACGCCCCAGCGTTTTCACCCGTACAGGGGATCGAACCACGGACCTCAGTGTGTGAGGTGAGTGCTCTACCAGCTCATCTAATGCATCGTATGAAATGAATGGAACATTTCAGGGGTTAAGGTTGTATAGGCACAAATTCTGTTGGATTCTCTGCAATACCTAGAGAATGCATCTTCGGGTCGGCTTTAAACTTATAGTGATGTGTTTTTCCTCACAGGAAGTTAAATAAGTCATAGTTTGACTTTATTTGGTTATCCTAAGTTAAGTAAGTCACGGTTTAACTTAATTTGGTTAACCCAAGTTAAATAAATCACATTTTAACTTGGTTTTGTTGCACCATTTCAGAGAATCATGTAAACAGTTTTGTCGGTGTTAGAAGAATAACTTAGTAGTGACATTGTGGCAGATATATCTTTAGCATCTTGTTAGGTTAAGTTAGGTTAAGTTAGGTTAGGTTAGGTTAAGTTAGGTTAGGTTAGGTTAGTTAAGGTTAGGTTAGGTTAGGTTAGGTTAGGTTAGGTTAGGTTAGGTGAGGTCAGGTTAGGTCAGGTTAGGTCAGGTTAGGTGAGATTAGGTTAAGTTAGGTTAGGTTAGGTTAGGTTAGGTTAGTTTAGGTTAGGTTAGGTTAGGTTAGGTTAGGTTAGGTTAGGTTAGGTTAGGTTAGGTTAGGTTAGGTCAGGTAAGGTTAGGTCAGGTCAGGTTAGGTGAGGTTTAGTGAGATTAGGTTAAGTTAGGTTAGTTAAGGTTAAGTTAGGTTAGGTTAAGGTTAGGTTAGGTCAGGTTAGGTCAGGTTAGGTCAGGTTAGGTGAGATTGGGTTAAGTTAGGTTAGGTTAGGTTAGATTAGTTAAGGTTAGGTTAGGTTAGATTAGGTTAGGCTAGGTCAGGCTAGGTTAGGTTAGGTTAGGTTAGATTAGGTTAGGTTAGGTCAGGCTAGGTTAGGTTAGGTTAGGTTAGGTTAGGTTAGGTTAGGTTAGGTTAGGTTAGGTTAGGTTAGGTCAGGCTAGGTTAAGTTAGGTTAGGTTAGGTTAGGTTAGGTCAGGCTAGGTTAAGTTAAGTTAGTTAAAGTCAGGTTTGTCAGGAAACAGAACACGTGTTTCCTAACGCGGGTGTATGATCTCGTCATTACAGGACTGAGAGAAAGTACGTCTGACTAAGAGATGAGAGTTGTGTCATCTGTAAACAGAACAAGTTTAAGTACCTGAGATGCATCAGGAAGGTTGTTGATGAAAATAAATGGTATAAAATACCGACACAATGGAAACATAAACACATATGCAGTTTAATGTGATCCTTTATTGACTACGTTTCACCCACACAGTGGGCTTTTTTCAGATCTGTTTGTGACTTGAAAAAGCCCACTGTGTGGGTGAAACGTTGTCAATAAAGGATCACATTAAACTGCATATGTGTTAATGTTTCCAAGGTTATTGATGTTGATCAGAAGAAACACAGGGGCGAGAACACCGCCCTGGGGAACCCCTGTGTTATTAACTTTGTTTGAGATTTTTAACCCCAGGATAGTCACATATATTACACATATTCAAGTGATTCCAACTACCATACATAGTAACATATGTGATTCCAACTACCATACATAGTAACATATGTGACCCAACTACCATACATAGTAACATATGTGACTCCAACTACAATACATAGTAACATATGTGATTCCAACTACCATACATAGTAACATATGTGACTCCAACTACCATACATAGTAACATATGTGACTCCAACTACCATACATAGTAACATATGTGACTCCAACTACCATACATAGTAACATATGTGACTCCAACTACAATACATAGTAACATATGTGATTCCAACTACCATACATAGTAACATATGTGACTCCAACTACCATACATAGTAACATATGTGACTCCAACTACCATACATAGTAACATATGTGTAAATTAACAATAAGAACCCAAAGAAAGTAACTTATTTCCATTGAGGTTCCTGTAATAGCTTATTATTAAAGCCTAGCTGTAAGATACGGTAGAAATGAGTTATAATTATAGAGCTGGGCAACCCTTCCTATCTTAACTACACCTGGGAAACTTCTGGTCTTCAATAACTTCTTAATTATCATAGATCCAGTTCCTGGACCCATTATGTAGTTATAACACCACCTACACTATGTATCTACTGAATAATGAACGTATTAAACTACGCTATTACTTGTTAGGTAAGACACATATGCAACAGTTAGGTATCTTTATTTCGAAACGTTTCGCCTACACAGTAGGCTTCTTCAGTCAAGTACAGAAAAGTTGATAGAAGCAGAAGATACTTGAAGACGATGTAATCAGTCCATCACCCTTGAAGTTTTGAGGTGGTCAGTCCCTCTACTCTTCTCCAGACTGAGGGACTGACCACCTCAAAACTTTAAGGGTGATGGACTGATTACATCGTCTTCAAGTATCTTCTGCTTCTATCAACTTTTCTGTACTCGACTGAAGAAGTCTACTGTGTAGGCGAAACGACCTGTCGGTATTTTATACCATTTTAATGTTATGCTATTACTTAAATTAATTCTTCTTCTTCTCCTCTTCCTCCTCCTCCTCATCCTCTTCTTCTTCTTCTTCCTCTTCTTCCCTTCTTTTTATTATTACAAAACCTGTACAAGTAGTGCAATATTAATAATGTATATTTCTACAGGTACATGATACACGTTATACAGGTTATACAGGTTATACACGTTATACAGGTTATACAGGTTATACAGGTTATACAGGTTATACACGTTATACAGGTTATACAGGTTATACAGGTTATACAGGTGGCACATAAACAGGTAATTTACACATATAAAACTGTATAAAACAATTCTAATCTTATAAAATCACGTAATTAGACTAGCTCACACACTGAGGTCCGGGGTTCGATCTCCGGTATAGCTGGAAAACATTAGAGTTTAGTTAGTTTAATATCTTTATTATGCACCCCATACCCATCCTGTGGGTGGTAGTCACCCCATACCCATCCTGTGGGCGGTAGTCACCACATACCCATCCTGTGGGCGGTAGTCACCACATACCCATCCTGTGGGCGGTAGTCACCCCATACCCATCCTGTGGGCGGTAGTCACCACATACCCATCCTGTGGGCGGTAGTCACCCCATACCCATCCCGTGGGCAGTAGTCACCCCATACCCATCCTGTGGGCAGTAGTCACCCCATACCCATCCTGTGGGCGGTAGTCACCCCATACCCATCCTGTGGGCGGTAGTCACCACATACCCATCCTGTGGGCGGTAGTCACCCCATACCCATCCTGTGGGCTGTAGTCACCACATACCCATCCTGTGGGCGGTAGTCACCACATACCCATCCTGTGGGCGGTAGTCACCACATACCTATCCTGTGGGCGGTAGTCCCCCCATACCCATCCTGTGGGCGGTAGTCACCACATACCCATCCTGTGGGCGGTAGTCACCATATACCCATCCTTTGGGCGGTAGTCCACCCATACCATCCTGTGGGCGGTAGTCACCACATACCCATCCTGTGGGCAGTAGTCACCCCATACCCATCCTGTGGGCGGTAGTCACCCCATACCCATCCTGTGGGCGGTAGTCACCCCATACCCATCCTGTGGGCGGTAGTCACCCCATACCCATCCTGTGGGCGGTAGTCACCCCATACCCATCCTGTGGGCGGTAGTCACCCCATACCCATCCTGTGGGCGGTAGTCACCCCATACCCATCCTGTGGGCGGTAGTCATCCCATACCCATCCTGTGGGCGGTAGTCACCCCATACCCATCCTGTGGGCGGTAGTCACCCCATACCCATCCTGTGGGCGGTAGTCACCCCATACCCATCCTGTGGGCGGTAGTCACCCATACCCATCCTGTGGGCGGTAGTCACCCCATACCCATCCTGTGGGCGGTAGTCACCACCATACCCATCCTGTGGGCGGTAGTCACCCCATACCCATCCTGTGGGCGGTAGTCACCACATACCCATCCTGTGGGCGGTAGTCACCACATACCCATCCTGTGGGCGGTAGTCACCACATTACCCATCCTGTGGGCGGCAGTCACCACATACCCATCCGTGGGGCGGTAGTCACCACATACCCATCCTGTGGGCGGTAGTCACCCCATACCCATCCTGTGGGTGGTAAGATAAGATAAGATAAGATTTCGTTGGATTTTTAACCCCGGAGGGTTAGCCACCCAGTATAACCCAAGAAAGTCAGTGCGTCATCGAGGACTGTCTAACTTATTTCCATTGTGGTCCTTAATCTTGTCCCCCAGGATGCCACCCACAACCAGTCGACTAACACCCAGGTACCTATTTGCTGCTAGTGAACAGGACAACAGGTGTAAGGAAACGTGTCGAAATGTTTCCACCCGCCGGGACCGAACCCTGGCCCTCCGTGTGTGAAGCGGGAGCTTTAAGCCACCACGCCCGGGTCACCACATACCCATCCTGTGGGCGGTAGTCACCACATACCCATCCTGTGGGCGGTAGTCACCACATACACCATCCTGTGGGCGGTAGTCACCACATACCCATCCGTGGGCGGCAGTCACCACATACCCATCCTGTGGGCGGTAGTCACCACATACCCATCCTGTGGGCGGCAGTCACCACATACCCATCCTGTGGGCGGTAGTTCAAAAGATTACAGAGGTACATAATTGGTCCAGGGACTGGACCTCAAAGTTTTGATAGCTGAGCAAGTTACAAAGGTTAATGAACTCACAATTTACAAAGGTAATGAACTCACTATTTACAAAGGTAATGAACTCCAGGTAGGTCTGGTCACAGTCATGACAAGTTACAAAGGTATTTACAGATTACAGAGGTACATAATGGGTCCAGGGACTGTACCTCAACATTACAGAGGTACATAATGCGTCCAGGGACTGGGCCCCAAAGTTTTGATAGCTGAACTAGGTACAAAGGTAATGAACTCAAAAGTTACAAAGGTAATGAATCCTGTAAGAATGGTTACTTACGTTTATACATTAGAGACGTGTATCCATACGACACTTGTTGCCTATGTTCACCCATCAGTAAAATGGGTACCTGGGTGTTATTGGACTGGTGTGGGTCGCATCCTGGGCAGAGGCGTCGCTAGAGTTGGTGTCACCCGGGGTGGAATCTCTGGTGTCACCCGGGACAGAATCTCTGGTGTCACCTGGGACGGAATCTCTGGTGTCACCCGGGACGGAATCTCTGGTGTCACCTGGGACGGAATCTCTGGTGTCACCCGGGGCGGAATCTCTGGTGTCACCCGGGACGGAATCTCTGGTGTCACCTGGGACGGAATCTCTGGTGTCACCCGGGGCGGAATCTCTGGTGTCACCCGGGACGGAATCTCTGGTGTCACCCGGGGCGGAATCTCTGGTGTCACCCGGGACGGAATCTCTGGTGTCACCCGGGACGGAATCCTGGTGTCACCCGGGATGGAATCTCTGGTGTCACCCGGGACGGAATCTCTGGTGTCACCCGGGACGGAATCTCTGGTGTCACCCGGGATGGAATCTCTGGTGTCACCCGGGACGGAATCTCTGGTGTCACCCGGGATGGAATCTCTGGTGTCACCCCCATGATATTCAAGGACGGGGGATATGGGGAAGAAAACTCCAGTTATGTCACTACTGCATGACCAGTGGCTAATGTTTCGCAAAGAGAATATTTAAGGGCAATAAACCAAACAGGAGAATATTGAGGAATATTGAGGAAACATAAACTCAAATACCACTTTGAGTACAGACAACAGATCCTACATTTATTCAGCTTCAACAATGCAAAAACCCAAAAAAAAACTTGAAAAATAAAGAAAAACATTGCAATATCAGAGAAACACTTGTTCCGATTTGACCTTGAGTACAGGTAACATCTTAGTGAATCTGATCTTACATTTGACCTAGAGTACAGGTAACATCTGAGTGAAAACATCTTTCATTTGACCTTGAGTCAGGTAACCCTCCAGTGAATCTGATCTTAAAATTTTCCCCTTTAAAAACAGGTAACATCTTAGTAATCGGGTCTTTCCCTTTTTACCTTGATACAGTTAACATCTCCGGGAAACGATCTTAATTTGACCTTTTTTAGAAAAGGAACATCTCAGTGAATTTTAAACTTACATTTGACCTTGAGTCAGGTAACATCCCGATGAATCTATCTTACATTTTTACCTTGAGC